TAGGCTAGCCTCTGGTAACAAGCAGGCGGCCCATTGAGCCCAACGAGCAAGATTGGCCTAAATGTAAGCGAGTTGGCCCACTTAACCCGTCATGTTGGCTTGCATACCCTAAAAGATATGATTAATTAGGATAAATTACACTATACTCCCATGAACTTCTAGTTGCAGTTAAACCCCTATGTTACCATGTACTTCAAATTCACACTAAACCCTAATAACTTTTGTAGAAAACTCATAGCAAATTTTGGGTAAATTACACTAGACCCCCAATAACTTTCAAAATACCTTTTTTTTTTTTTTTTGGGGGGGGGGGGGGGGGGGGGGAATTTATGGGGGTTATCTACAAAACTCGGAAAGTTATTAGGGGTTTTCTACAATTCCAAAAAGTTATTGAGGGTTTAGTGTGATTTGAAAGTTCGTGGGGTTTTAAAGCAAAATGCTTAAAGTTCATGGGGTTTTATGTAATTTACCCTCAATTATCTCTATAGCCTTTTCAATTGATTTTATTTATAAGTTGACGTCTTTTCTCTATTTTTATTTGCTTAAAGTTTGTTGTAATTTATTCCTATATTTTTAAAATAGTGGAACAATTAGTTGCCGCCCATGGAGTAGGACTCGCTCCAACCCATGTAAAATCTCTGTATTTGCGACGTTACTCTCTGTTATTCTATACAAACTAGTGTACGCCCTGTGCGAAGCATAGCCTTCCCTTTTTTTATTGCTACAATAATCCTTTTTTAAGTGCTACAGTATTTTTTTTAAAAATGTTGCATCAATATATTTTTTGCTGCTACAGTGACATCTTTTAGAAATACTACAGTATCTCACCTCTGCTACAACAATATATTTTTAAAACACTACAGTAATTTTAAATAATGCTCCCACACACACACACACACATGCACAATGATATTTCTTTGAAAATGCTACATCAATAATGCTAAAGTAAAATATTATAGTATTTACTGTAGTATGAATAGTGATTCTTGGGTCCTCCCATTATTATAGAGGAATAGATATACAATTTTACTTAATAAAATTATTTTTTTATTTCTATAATGGTTCATTGTTGATTAATTACAAAATTTTTAAGTGTTAAACAATGCTTAAAAACTATTTAAAAACCTAAAACCATTTACAAAATCTAAAAAAATAAAAAAATAAAACATGGTGGGTTGGACAAACCGACACGTGTCATGGCCCGCCTTGCTTAATCTTGTTCTACGAGCGGGCTGAGCTGAAGTCTAAGCACGCAAACAAAGTGATACAATACGGCACGCTTGTCTCGTTGCTGGCTCGCGGGACGAGCTCCTGTTGCCCACCCCTAGGACCCCTAGGAGCAAGCAACACGACGACAATGTATTGGACGGTTTTAAGACATCTACCACTCTTGATGACAAATACTGCGAACATAATTCCTCATACAATATGTTTAAAAAGGTCTTCATGTCTTCAGAATTATTTCTGGATAACTTTAAGATGAGCAGTTTAACCATATGCTTAAAAAAAAATTCAATAACACAATCAAAAGTAAAATATGTGATGGCATAGAACTATAGCAGGTCTGTCATAATCTACCACTCCGCAATGCAACATTAGGAAAAAAACATAACAGCCAGTTTGGATGGAACACCAACATATTACAGTCCATATTACAGTCCAAATCCTGAGGAGCTTATACCGGTAACAAGTAAATTACCAAAGGCCCAGCATGAAGCAACATATTTTAGCCTACTGTCAGTCTCCATGCATCAAGTCTAGTATAGTAATTTATCATGTTCACACAGGTCATTTGCTGTCTTCAAACTAATAAGAGGCATACCCTGTTGATAATTGGGAAAACTCGGGGATTTCCAAAGCTTTCCTATGCAGCGCATTAGAGGGATCTTGAAGCAATTAAAGATACTACGATTCTAGCTCAAATTTCATCTTTCAGGTAATAGAATAATCATACACAAATTTTCCATCAAATTGCTAGAGCAAAACAAAGTTAAGAAAAAGCTCCTTAAAAATACAATTTTCCAAGACCGTTAGCCACGGCTACAATAGGCAGAAAGGATGGCCCTGTTGAAAAATATGAAGCCCAAACAAGAATGAGTTTCCAATGGCTCCTCTGACTTATATATGATATACCTTAATTAGAGGCAGTTGCGGTTTCTACAGAAAATCTCATGCTTTTATATCCTCGGCTGGTTACACTCTCAACATTTCTCTTGCCCGCTTACAATAACATCGGTAATTGATCAAAAGAATTTGTTTGGTCACCACCGGCTCACATGTATAAAATAATATTCTTTGCTTTTTTTTTCTTTTTTTCATGTGCCAAAAGTTGCTTGTTCTTGCTTTGCCAAGCTTCATCGAGACAGGATGAACAAGACAGGATCGTAACTATGGGGGACGAGGGCACGATTTTACGGTTTTTGTTGTGGTAGGGTTAATCGAGTCAGGCTCGATTAGCTGATGCATTGGCTTAAGGAGATTTGAATAAAACGACCATGTCTGTGTATGCAGGTGCATGCGTTAGCCCACATGAACCCGAGTATATAGAATGTCCAAGATGTTGCTTCTCAACCCAAGTGATCCACACTCTTGTGCCCTAGAAATAATCAGGTATGATAATTTCGTACTTCTTTGCAATAACTTTGTAAGATTTGGAACTTTTCGGCAACTTTCTCGATATTTGGATGAGCCGATCTTCCAAAGTAGATGGGTATGTTCCCAAAACAACTATAGAGATGTTGAATCTTTAACATTTTCCCCCGTGTACTGTTCTAAAACATTTGATATTTAACCTATGAAAACATGCATAGTCAAAATACTCGAAACCAACCTCAGCACTACATAGTGATCCAACCATGTAACTGGCACGCTCTCCAGGCATTGATACTTATCCTCTAGTTACTTTGACCTTTCACTCTGTACATTTCTCAATTGCTCATGTATTGTGAATGCCCTGGTATCTAAAGGGAACAAGAAAAAATTGCAGGACTACACCTTAATTCATATAATCTTGAAGCATGTAGTTCTTAGTAGTGTACCTCCAAGTATACCACTGGAAAAGCTGATTGAATAGGAACATGCATTTTATATAACTTGTCTACTTTCTTTTGAAAAACATATATTACCAAGGGAATTGTATTTTTTTTCCACCGCTACAACAATACAAATTCATGTTTAAACATACACAATGTTAGTTCTCGAACACACGAGACGTTTTTACTATGGTTTCCACCATATCTCATGCACTCACCTTCAGGACCAAGCTTATGGTCAAGTGTTGAAGAGGTTGCTGCAGTTTACTCTCAATATTACAAATTCTTTAAATTTGGGAAGGACTTGACAATTCCTTTCCTTGAAAGCAATGTACTTTTAGTGCATTGGATACAATTCAGTTAATATCATGAATCTTTCTGCTTTGTCTTACTAAGTGTTAAATGTTAGGTTGGTTCACACCCCTAAAAGGTTAAAACCACTAATCACTTTCATCCTTACATTTATCTTATGTTCTGTTGATTGCAGCATTTATTGAACAGTGTCATAGTTCTGTCACCATTGTTTAAACAAGATGGAAATATTAGTACTTTTCGAATAATATATTTGAATTTCCTGGTTTGCATTCAAAACACCGTGATATTCTCTCACGAAAATCACATCTGTCATATCTCTAGGAAAGGATGTCTCGCAATATAGTGCACTTTCTTATATGAACTTTGTTTCATAGTTACAGAAATTATTTCCCCACTCTATCTGAGTGTTTTGCCTTAGTACTGAATGGAGAAAAGAATTTATGCAGCCAAACCAAAACGTCGAGGAGTCAGCTTTATTATTTATGTATTAAAGCACACAAGAGTTGAGAGAAATATTTACCCTATCTGGTGGCTTTAGCTTCCTCAGTTATTAACTAATTCTATGAAACAAAGGGTAAATGTGAAAGGACTCAACTTTCCACATCGACTAAAACAGACAAAGGAGGTATCTTAGTGTACATATATCTTTGAAAGGCAAATGTGATGGTCCGGATATCAAAATCTAATCATCCAGTTAGTAATTGATTGTGGGTATTAGCAATTGTTGACTATGAAGTTGGATGAAAAGAAGTTCAAGGCCCATGCTTTAGTAGTATTTACATGACTATGTAACCGAATTTCAATTTTCACATCATATACTTACAAAAAAGAGACAGATAACTTAACAATGTTATAGGACACATTAAGTAAAAATCACCATGAGTATATTCTTAATTATCGTGCACTAATAAACAAAAAACACTACACAAGGTTTTCACAGAACAAAAACAAAAAACACTACACAAGGTTTTCACAGAACAAAAAGGACCAAAAAACACTACACAACGCCTTCAGTTTAAGTGCATGCATGACTAATCAGACATGCGCACAACTATTTTAACATCGCATACAGAGAGACACAACACTGAAATCTCCAACCTATGGATCACCATTTAAGGCATTAGATTGTAAATTAAAGCACAAACACTTATCTTTCATGGCTTCAGCCTCGCTCCCATACTCTTTGAACCGATACTCCTCCTGCTTGAAAGTGGAGGGCACCTTCCCTTCACTATAGCAGCGATTACACAAGCTGAAATGATGCTTTGTCTCCTTGAACCTAGAACCAATGATCGGGTACCTGCATATTGAACAAGAACGCCCACCATGGCGCATCCGATCACCATTTTCAAGCTTCACCAAAGTGTTCAAAATCCCAAAACCCCAATCCCGATCATTGAACATCTCAAGAAACTCAGTATAAGATATCAACGACTGATCTGATTCCCCGTGCAATTCCATCATATCACTAACACCATGAGAAGGTATGTAAACTGCTCTGAGGAATTTAATATATGCAACAGCATCACTTCTCCAAATTTGTGACCCATTTTCATTGTTAGGCCGCCAGAGGAGCGCATCAAAGACAACCCTCTTTCTTTTATCAGTAGGTCCCGAACAAATTGGAGCAAGAACAGCAAAGAACATGCCCAAATCCACACGACCAGAACCCGAACTATCCAATACAGAAAGTACCCTCTCATTTATAGCTTTGACAGCTCCTAGGAATGTTTCGGCCTTGAGAAAATTCAGAATTTTCCGGAGGATGACTTCCAAGGCTGCTTTCCGAATGGATTTTTCTGGGACTCCACTTCCTGAATAAGATACAGGAACATCAGTCTCATTCATCTCCTTCTTCAAGACTTCCACATCACAACGGCTCAACCTCGTGAGCTTCTGAAAGGCCCGAATCTCAAGTGCATTGGCCAAGTCCTGTCTTAAAGTGGTTTTCCTTCCAACCCTCTTGAACTTAGAAGCCTCCACAACAAGAAATCCAGACTCCCCATCACCGTCATTACCCTTGCCCTTATTCTTCTTCTTCTGAAGCATCTTAAGGTGTGCAATGGCATCATAAACCTCGACCCTCTTTGTCATCTTAAACGCATCCTTAAGAGCTTTCTTTGCATCCTCAGCCTCTCCGGCTCCCAAGAGAGCAACAGCCTTATTCAACTGCGCCCTCCAATTATTAGGCCGAACACTCAAAACCCTAGTGTACATCTCCGAAGCCCTAGCAAAACGACCCATATCCATGTACAACCCTCCCAAATTATACAACGCATCTACATGACCCGGTTTCAAATCAATCGCCTTCTGAAACTCCTGAATCGCTCGTTCATCGTCACCCATAGCATGCAACGCCGACCCAAGATCACAATGTGCATCTGCGTAATCTGGTTTCAAGAACACTGCCTCCTCCAAAGCTTTCTCCGCTGCCCGATACTCTCCGACCCCAAACAATGCGCTCCCGAGGAGCTTCAAGGCCCTAAAATGGCTCGGGCAAAGGATCGCTGCTTCCCTATAATGCTCACAAGCACTAAGAACCATCCCTTCTGCTTCCATTGCGATCCCCAAATTGACATGAATCTGAGGTAACAACTGTGCCCACTGATTCCCACTGGCCTCACCAGCTTCCAATGCCAACAAAAACTCCTCTTTCGCATCCGAATGCTTACCTAAAGCATAAAGAGTGTTACCTGCTCGAAAATGGGGTCGAACGTCGGTGGGCTGCAGCTCGCACGCTCGCTGAAAGCTCTTCAGCGCTTCAGAAAACAGCTGGTGATCGTAAAGAGCTTTCCCAATCGCCATCTGACCATCAAAAGCCTCATCCTTTGCCCTCGAACTGTCCGCACGCGCCCTAAGCCCGGCCACCTCCTTGGCGAACACAGCGTAGTCCGGCGACGACTCGTCCCACGTGATCTGCCGGTCGGTGGGGCCCATCTCACGTGACCAGCCCGTCTCCGAGAAGGAATCAGAGTTGTTGTTGTTGTTGCTGCTGCTGGTTTTCTCTGCGGACTTGTGGAGGCGCTTGATCAGGATCTCGAGGTCGTCGAGGAGCTGCCATGTGGCGTCGTAGGCGACTCCGGTGGGTTGAGCGGCGGAAGCCGGGATCTTGGCGGAATTGGAGGAGGAGGGCAGGGACAAATCGGTAATTTTAGGGTTAAGGTCTGGATCTTGAGGAGGTGGAGACGGAGGAGGGAGAGAGAGGGCGTCAAAGTCACGGTCAACGTCACCGGCGCCGTCATCGTAGGTTCTTAAAAGGCCGTCAAGGGAAAGACCGACGCCGTTAGGGACGATGAACTCCGAGTACGTTCGAAAAACCTCGTCGAGGATCGCGGAGATCTGCTGAACTGACGCGAGGGTTACGCGACGACTAACGCCGCCATCTCGTCGCGCGTTAACGTCGAACCGCTCGAAGATTCGCCGGACTTTTTCGGCTCTTGCCATTTCTTGAAGGGAAAAGGACCGAAGTTTTTGATTTTTATTTTTTTGGGTACTAATTCTCGTGGGTTTAGAGGGAGATGAGAGAGAAACCAGCGGCTTTAATTATTAAAGCCATTGCTCTCTCTCTCTCTCTCTCCTCTCCCTCCTCTCACTCTCTCTCTCTCTCTCCTCTTTCAATATCGAGATCTTTATCGCTATAATTTCTTTGATTTTCCTGTTCCTTTTCTTTTCCTTTTTCTCATTGAAAGAAGGGGCTTTCTGTTGGATAAGAGCTGGACGGTTCACGGGGAATGGGAAAATACCACAATCTTATGGATTTTCGTTTTCTCGTGCAGAATTTTCTTTTTTTATTTGCATAAAGTAGCGGTTCAAATTTTATCTTATTCGCTTTGAAAGTATGCGTTCGAAATAAACTTGGGATAGTTAATAAGACCCTTTAATATTTTGAATATTTTATTTAAATTTTAATATATCCTATCTATAATCATATCATATCCTAATTCAACATATACAATTTATAGCTTAACAATTTTAAAAAATAATATTAATAAAATATATAAATAGATTTACGATATTAGTTTGTTAAGGTAAAGAAATTATACATAGCTAATATACTATAATACATGAAGTATTAAAAAAACCCTAAAAATTTTAAAATTGCACAAAATATCGTCTAAAGTTTAAAATTATAAAAAAACATCCTGGCATTTTAAAACTTAAAATAACAAAAATAAAATTAGGAAACTAACAGTATCCTACGAAGAATCTAAAATTTATAGTTAACACCCTCAATATCTCAAAAATTATACAAACACCCACAAAAGCTCATATTACAAACAAGCACTCTGAAATTCTAAAATTTTAAGACTTGCAAATAACATAGATAAATTCAATGGATTACCATGATTTACTAAATTTTTGGTATTTTAAAACTTAAAACAACAAATATGAAATTAAGAAATCAACTTCAGCCTCTGAAGAATCTAAAATTTATAATTAACACCCTAAATATCTCAAAAATTATAGAAACATCCTCAAAAGTTTAAATTACAAAAAGCACCCTAAAGTTCCAAAATTTTGAAACTTGTAAACAACATAGATGAATTCAATGGATTACCATTAGGCGCCTAAAACATTAAAATTTGCCAAAACTAACCTCAAAGTTATAAAAATTGCATAAAACTCCTTCAAAGGTTAAAAATTGCAAAAACACTCTAAAATTTTAAAATTTATAACTAGTACACATCAAATCTAGGAACGCTTATCCAATTTAGAGTTTACTATCCTTTTTTAGCATCTAAAAATAGTCTAAGTTGATGCTAGTAAAAAAAAACAATAAGAACTGATTAAAAACATTCGATTAAGGAATAAAAGTTTAAAAAATATATTATACCTTATAAATTATCATCAAAATATACACCAAAGTAACTATATACAATTTTACTGAGAAGTTGAAGCAACAAAAATACATAAGTAACATTAATTGATAGAAGATTAAATTCATAAAACTAATAAAAAAACTATAATATAATAGCTTAATATTAATTGATTATAATTTATAAATATTAATCTCTAATGTCAATAATATTTATAGAGTAAAAGAATACAAGGAATTATGTATGGAAAACTATCAGAATGTTTAGAGATATCCTTCAAAAGAATCAAGTTATTTCCATGTCAAATGAGAAAGTGAAGAAAATAAATCTAAAATTTGAAAATTATCCATGAAGCACTTGAATTGATATTAATATAAGGCATATCTATCAAACAAGAATCGACTGAGTTCCATCGAAAAATAATTTAACAAATTTATCTCAATCAAAAAAAGAATTCTGCATGGAAGATACAAGAACAATTAATAAGTATTCATAAATTTCATACTTTATTCTTCAAATACTAAAAAAATTAAATATTAATATTATAATCTACAATAAATTGGCAATGAAAAATACAAGTATTTACTTAAAACCCTTTTGGAAAATGATAGGGATAGAGCAAATGTAACATTATTGACATAGTAGAATTCTTATTGGATGCACATCAGAAGAATTCATTGTAGCGGAAAAAAGGTAACTCCTAATCTTATATAAGTAATAAATTAGGAACAGAAAGAATTTCATATATATATGAAATTAAAATTTAGAGAAAAATCAAAGTTTGTGTTGGCCTTCTTGTTTTGATAATGTTTAACAAACAATTTACAACTAATGTTATTTGTCTAGTGTTTGTGTTTATCTATTTATTATAGACAAACAACATGTTGGAGGATGGATGGAATTACGCATTCACGATCATATCCAATGGATGTTGGCGGAATAGTAGGTGAAGCTATGTACAATTCAAGTTGAAGATCCAAGTTCAAGCTCCATCCGCAAGATTACCAAGTCAAGCTATTGAAGATCAAGATCAAGCTTGGGTAATTTAGTTTAGGAGTTTATATTATGTGTTAGTACCTTAAGCTCAATATAATATACACACACACATTTATTGGTTTCTATGTATATATATAGTTATATATACATATATGTTTTGGTTTGATAGTTTTCAAGTTTTACTATGAAATAATTAAATATAATTAGAAAACATATTTTTGTTTCATACTTACATGCATATATATGATTTTATCAATATCAATTTTATTCAATTCAATGAAATCATGTTTTAGTGCATTATATGTGTATTTTGATAAAATACTATATTCATTGTTTATAGACTTCATAACAATAGTTTACATCTTTTTTCAAGTCTATAAAATCATTTTGTTTTGTTTTAAAACATGGTTAAGCTAAAATGTCAAAACTCATATGTTCACATTTTTATGTTTTGGACTATTTTGCAAAATGATGATATTTTTCATTTGGGAGGTCCTTTCTAAAAACCAATTTTTGTAGCATGTGTATTATCATGCCTACAATCATTTTTCAAAGTTTTATATTTTTTGGAATTTATTTGATATTTTTAAACAGGTTTTTAAAATCAAAAAATTAACTTTCAAACATGTTTTCTCATATGTCAGTTTACGGTCGACCGCCACGATCGACCGCGTCTTTGTTTTTAACCTGCGGAAACAACAACTTTCGCGGTCGACCGTCAGCTCAAAAATTCCCACGATCGACCGTCAAAGTTTCTGGAATTTTCTGAGCCTCGAAAGTGGCTCGCGGTCGATCGCGAGATTTTCACGGTCGACCGCCGTTCACTCCAACGGTCATTTTGTACAGAATCTGATTTCCGATTCTGTTGGTTTTTGGTCATTTCTGTTGGGCTTTTGGTTAAGGTTTTGGGAGGCTATAAATACCCCCATTGATCTTAGTTCTCATGGCAATCTAAGAAGTTTTTTTAAACAATAGTTTTAACAAGGGTTTAAGTATTGTTTAAGTTTGTTTAAGAAGCTTTTAAGTATTTGAGAGTTTGAGTTTGTGAAATCAATTTCACAAGAGCTTGAGGAGATCATCTATTAGTGTTTGAGCATCCAACTCTTCTCCTTCCACTCTTGATCTATTGAAAAGTTTTCTAAACTCAATCTAGCTTTATATTTTATATTGTTTGATTATCATTTTATTAAGCTAGTGTTCATATTGAGTTTAGTTGATTTTATTTTCTCTTTGTTTACACACACACAACCATTGAGCTTATTGTATTTACATTCATAGTATAATTGGGTTGTGGGATTGTGTAACTTAGAGAGTGAGCTTATAATTCGTTCTCATCTATTATAGAGAACAAACACTTTGTATTATGCTTATTGTGAGATTCACTTTGTAATACACTTGTACACTGAGAGAAGTGTGTGGCGAGAGTCGGGGATCGTCCCAAGAGGAGTGGCGTCGGTTGACGAACCTAGGGAGAGATTGTATCCGAGCACTTGAGGGAGACACATCTAGTTCCAACACTTGAGAGGTGTAGAGTGGGATTGTAAGAGTGTGTTAGTTATAGAGTTTTTGGTAAACTAGGAAACTGTATTGTGTGGTGTAAACGTTATTCAAGTAAACGTAAAAAACCCGGTTGTAATAGTGGAGATCTGATGCGACATAATTATGTACCAAAAATTGCAAGTGCACAATTTATCAAGTTATAGTATAAAAAGATATCGATCCCACGAAGAAGGTGATTTTAAGAGATTATTAAACTTGGTTCTTATATTTTGTGCATGACAATTAGGAATAAAGAATAAATGTGATTTTGTTGAGTGATTGTTATGAATATATGCAAAAAAAATAATAAATTAAATTTGCAAAAAAAATAATAAATTAAATTTTAGAAGAGAGAAGGAAGAATCAAAGAATAAATGAAATCACAAGGCAAGAAATATGAATTAATAAAATCAAGAAATAAAACTAAGAATGAAAAGAAAGTTAAGATGGAGGATTCAAAAGAGGTAAGAAATCTAGAATATAATCCACTAACCAATTTCAATTATAAAATATAAACTATTCTCTTTTTATCATATTTCAACCTAGATTTATTAAGCATAGATTATCAAACCATTTAAGGAAAGTGTAACCTATCAAATTATCATCTAAGTTAAAATCACTATTCATGATAAGAACAACAACATGATAATAATCCTAGAATTCATAAGCATAACCTATCAAACCATTTAAGATAAGCATAGATTATCAAATTCTTCTTCTACTGATTAGTTCTCTAGTTGATTATCCTAAACATGAACATTTTAAGTGCAAGAGAATAATTCATACAATATAAAAGAAATTAGACTAGTTTCATACAATTCTAAGATTCCTACAAGAATTAAATTCACATCTTAAGAAATAAAAACAAGAAAAAGAAGACTAATTACAAAATTAAAAAGAAAAGAAAAATCTAAACTATGAACAAGAAATAAATCTAATTACAAAGAAAATAAAAATCTAAACTACAAAATAAATTGCAGAAATTAAATGCAAGAAAAATAAATCTACTCTACAAATTAAAGTGCAAAAAGAAATAAAAAAGACAAGAAAATAAATCTACACTACAAGCATGAATTTAAATCTAACTAATAAGCAATAATAAAGAAATTACTAAAAAGAAATAAAAGAGAAAAGAAATGCAAACCTTCAAATTGCTCTTCATCTCCATCCTCATCATTCAACAAAGAGGAGAAAGAACAAATTTAAAGAGGAAAAAATTATTTTTATTAATTGCAACTAAAGTTACAATTTTTGGAAGGCCTTCTCAATTAAGAGTAGCCCTCCTCTCCAAAAGGAGTTTACAAAATTTTCACACCTCTAACCCCTCACTCTCTACCCCTATTTATAGTAATCTTCAATGAA